TGGGGATACTGTAGATTGATCCTGGGCATTGCACACACTTAGGCAAAGGTGCTATCATTGAGTTGCATCCACCCCCAGTCCTCACTGCTTGCTAACACAAAATTACTTTCTTGTTCCTGTTTTTACACATATTTTGTATGTAAAATCCTAAATTTCTGCCCTTGGAAACTTTATGTACCCTTGAAGGCCTTCCTGAAGCTCCATGTTTAACTATGAGTCTTCTTCCTCTGAAGTCACAAAGGACTGAACTAGTCACTGATGACATTTATCATAATAATGTTCAATTTTTTATAGAAGACTACACATATTTAACCATCCTCATCACACTGAATTCTAGAGAGCAGAAGTCCCTACTTTAACTGTTTCAAGTCTCATCTCCTGTCCTTGTCTGAATTACTACATGATACATTTTGCAGAAAGCTCTCAATGTTTGCCTCGTAAATAACTTGAGTGCTAAAGTAAAAACAAATCTTAGGGAAATTCCAGCCACCGTTATATATAACTGCAGCACTCCTGGACCAAGCACAAGGGCAGAAGTATAAAGGATGATGGCAAGGTGGCTGCACTTAACTGGGAAGGAAACAACCAAAAGTCTAAAGACAAATGATGAAAAGAAATTTGGTGCCCAAACAGGTGTTTGCTCTGAGGTAGAACTGTCTGATAGGAAGAATATTTCCATAGACTCCTTGAAAAGTGAAACAAGATAAAAAATTTAATAACAGTGACTCATTTTTACCCTTGAATTAAGTCTTAGAAATCTGGTGTCTATAACTGAGTTTCAGTGGCTCATGACTGTATTCCTACCCAGAAGGCTGACATCTGAGGATCATTGTTCAAAACCAGCCTGAGAAGACAAATCTAAATGATTATTATCCCCAATTAACTAGCAAAAAGCTGAAAGTAGAGTTGTGGCACAAGAGGTAGAGCGCCAGATATGAGCAAACAAGCTTAGAGACAGCACCCAGACCCTGGGTTCAAGCCCCAATATTAGCACAAAAACAAGATACGGTTTTACACAAAATGATCACCCATATACTTACATTTATTGTTATTAGGGTCTACAAAGCCTAAAAATTGGCTAACTATTCTTCTCCTTCTGTCCAACTGCCAACCAAAATCCAAATCTTACCAAAAAGTGCTCACTAACCATCAACTTTCCCCCTGGGCCTCTATTTGTAGTATCTCTAACATAGAAGCCCTGGATTCAAGACCACAGTCACATTGAGAGAACAGGACACATCTACCACATTCTGACAATTATTGAAAAGGCTCTTTATTCTTTTTTAAACTACCGAAGAGATACAAAGTAGGTATCTCAATGTTTGTTCAAAAGCTTATTGCTCTTAAGGGAAACAGAGGATGTTCCTGTAAAATAGCATAATATGCCACAGGTCAAAGTATTAACAGCTACACACTTGGGCAGAGATAAATGTTTCTCCACTCAAGAGTACCACTTGATAAAATCTGACACCTAGCAAAGAGAAAAAAAAAAAATCTAAAGATAGGGCACACAGCAATCTTAAAAGACATAAGGTATAAATTTCCCTTTCTGTTCTTCCATGATACACTTCTTATGCCATATAAAAGATGTTAAATCTAACATTTCAAAGCTGATCAGATTATTTTCCTCTTCTCCTTGACCTCATGCAAAGCAGAGGGGGAAAATTTTAAGAAACAAACATCCAATTTGGAGAGCACAAGTGTTCAGACTGTCAACCCTACCACAAAGCCGCAGCATTTTGAATACCTGGGCTCTCTCTCTTATTTTCACTGGCTCTTCTACCTCCTTCCATTGCCTAGAGCAGGATGAATGCTGGGCTGCTAGGCCTGTCTTCAGTCCTCTTACTCCTCTCCTGTTTATCAAGCTCATCTTCCTCTCCTTATTGGTTCTCCTACCTTAGTACATTTAAAAAATGAATTCTAAAAAAATCCTTACCCATCACAGAAATAGTGAGTACTATAGCTTAGTGGTTGTTATTTTCTATCATCACATAAGTAGACACAATTTCAAGAACTAACCTAACACAGATGGAGTACATAAATAAAAGTTCTTTGGAAAGAAAACAAATTAATGACATAAGATGATGAGTCTCTAGTGTTTAGAGGGCACTTACTTTTAAGGTCAGGTCAGTCTAACATGGACAGAAGGGGATATCTGGGACATTGGGCTTTTGGGGAGACTCAAGAGACTGGACACTGTTCCTTAGCTTTTATACTTAAGGCTGGTACTCTACCACATGCACCACATCTCCACTTCTGGTTTTTTTCGGGGGGGAGTGTGTTAACTGGACTTTCTGGCTCAGGCTGGCTTTGAACCACGATACTCAGATCTTCGCCTCCTTAGTAGCTAGGATTACAGGTGTAACCCACTGACACCGGCATTGGGTTCTTCTTGAGAATGGATTCCCAATATTGAGTTTTCTCTGGCTTAGCCTCTGACTGCCTGAATGCGTATATTTTTGTACCACAGAAGCTACCAGCTGAGCTGGGTGTACTTGGTAAACAGGAAAGTATTACAGAGCAAGTTCCCCAACTCTGGGCACAAGTCCTCTGTAATGGGGGTCCTGCCATTATACACCAAATCTACGTTCTTGGTACTTAGTTTCATTCTCTGCAGTCACCACATAGACAGATTTCTTTCTTCTCAGTTGCTAATACCACACCATTTGCATTTTATTTCCAATTAAAGGGACTCCTCCAGCTATAGCAGCCAAAGCATATTTGATCTGGACAAGTTTATTAGATGGGATAAATGTAGTTGGCATTAAGCTGAACTGTGATCTGCCATCTGTACTCAATCTAATCTCTGTAGTTCATAACACAATTGATTTTATATGTGTGTATTATCTACCACATTCCACCCCCAATTAAAATACTAGGAGTAGGTCTGATTACACAACAGTTGTCTATTGAATGGAATCATTATTTGTTAAATCCAATCATCCTATCTTTTCTAATATTTTTATGCAAAAGTCATTGTTTTAAATTAATATTATCTATCTATCTAAGTTTATCTATTTTTAGTTGGTTTTTTTGGTATGCTGCCCATGCTGGTTCTCAATTCTGGGTTCATATAATACTCAAGTGACTGGGACTAGACGTGTGTACAGTGGTGCCCAGTAAAAAAAAAATCATTCTTGTATAATTATTAAATTACATTAATGGGCTGGGAATGTGGTTCAGTGGTAGAGTGCTTCCCTAGTATTCATGAAGCCCTGGGTTTGATTCCTCAGTAACCCATAAACAGAAAATGCCAGAAATGGCTCTGTGAGTCAAGTGGTAGATGCTAGCCTTGAGCAAAAGAAGCTCAAGGACAGTGACTAGGCCCTGAGTTCAGCCCCAGGACTGGCAAAAAAATAATAAAATAAAATAAAAAATAAAATTACATTTAATGTGGGGCCTCATCACTGATTGTATTTTAAAACTTCTCAGGAACTTAGCAAAAACTAAGGTGTCAAACAACTAGGCTACAGACATAGACTAGAAAGTAACCAGAATGTTCTTGTATTTTCTAGGCTGCAATTCATATTGTTACATCCATATTAGCAATTACTAAGTGAGAAATTCCTAAAGATTTGTCCAAGAAATCTGCTATAGCTTATATGTCTATAGTATTACATATTTTCTCTTTCTTAATAGATCTCCTATTATATGTTCAATGCATGTCTTCCATGCTGAAGTTGAAATTCTCTTTTATTATTGGTTGTAGGGCTTGAGTTCAGGGCCTAGACACTGTCCCTGAGCTCCTTTGCTCAAGGCTAATCCTCCAGCACTTTGAGCCACAGTGTCACTTCCCTGAAGTTGAAATTCTTAAATGCAAAAGATAATATCCACACTGGACACCAGTGACTCACACCTGTAATCCTAGCTACTCAGGGGGCTGAGATCTGAGGATCATGATCAGAAGCCAGCCAGAGCAAGAAAGTCTGTCAGGCTCTTCTCTCCAATTAACCACCAGAAAAAAGCTCAGGGACAGTGCCCAGGCTCTGAGTTCAAGTCCCATGACTGACACACACACAAAAAAGACAATACCTATGAAGCCATCAATAAATACAAAGGTTGAAGTAGAATTTACTTGGTTTCCATAATCCAACAGCTAAAGTGGATATTTCTTCATAACTTAGAAGAAATCCTTGTCTATTCTGGACTTTCTGTCCTTATCTACTATGTCCTAGATTTTGACCACATAGCACATGTGTTTAGAACTTGTTCTAATCCCACATCATGATCAACGCCTATAATCATCAGCGTCACTGACCAGAAGCCATCAAGTTTCTTGTTATATTTGGTGCTAAGTTCCTTCATTAGTTTCAAAAAAAAAAATCAACCTGTATTTATTCGGGGCCGACTGTCAACATTCCATACTTCTCATTCCAATGCCTATCTATTCTCTTGCTTTGGGGCTTGTAACTGTTAAAAGATGCTAATGAAAGGTTGGGATCACTGTGATCAGCTAGGACCTCTGATGGAACACCCAGATTGAGGAAGTTTAAATCTCTATTTAAATATATTGAAAAATCTTTTTAAAGACATGAACACTTCTTATCAGGATACAGGAAAAGACAGCTTGTCCAAGCAATTATCATAGTTCCCCTACTTCTCAATCTCAGTCACTTTCTCCCCCTACTTTTGAGGGTGGTCATACTACACTCTCACAGTTCCACCCCTTCAATCAAGCTACAAACCAGAACATATTTCATCTTGATTAACCTCCTTGCATAATCAACAAAATGGAAACAATCCCACGACAGGACTGTCTGAGGAACAGTGCATCCATCTGAGAGTGAAATCATGGGTGAAAGGACTTTGCAAATGTAGACTGACATTCTAACTTGGCATGATTACCAACAGGAATTGTTTTCTCACCGTTAAGCTTTATATTAGAATGATGTTTTTCCTTGCTAAGAGGACAGATGTTATATGGGTTATTGTAATGAGTTAAAGGCCTAGGTTCCTGCATACTAAGCCAGTATACATGCCCAGTATACATGAGTGCTTACCTTGGGAGGTTTCCTTAATGATGCAAAGAAGAAATTTCAGCAGCAGGTACAGAGGGTCATAAACACAGCAGCCACATCGGACGAGAACAACGAAAGAGAGAGAGAGAGAGAAAAAACAACAAAGGTAAATTCAGAACTTTGGAATCAGGATTTGACATACCAGAAGACAAATCAAACACATTCCTGCCTGAAGAGATAAACTCTTACATTTGCCCTTAATGAATTTCCTCTATTCTAGGTTAGTAGAATGTATCCAGATAGTCCCTCACAGCTATTTTTAGTGGTTCTAAGAAGTGGCAATGGAAAAATATAAAGATAAGGAAATGTTACAATTATTATTGCATATGAGCAAATACATTTACATCAATTTTCACATTTAAATTTTCCTTAAATCGGAGGTGAAATATACCTATACCACTCCTTGGGAAAATCTATATATTCTAATAGATATATGAAGGGGTTTTTTTTTTTTCTCATTTAGAAATGATGGTTTGCTGGGCATCAGTGGCTTACACCTGTAATCCTAGCTACTTGAGAAGCTGAGATCTAAGCATCACTGTTGCAAGACAGTCCAGGCAGGAAAGTCCATGAGACTCTTTATTAACCATCAAAAAGCTAGAAGTGGAGGTGTGGCACAACTGGTAGAGCACTAGCCTTGAGAGAAAAGGCTCAGGGACAGTAACCAGGCCCTGTGTTCAAGCCTCAGTACTGACAAACATCTCCCCAGACACACACAAACACACAAGCACTCATATATGGTTCAGAGTTAGGGAACATTTTTCTCTGCCAAGGACCATTTAAAACATCATTTGAGAGCCATACAGAATTATCAATACAGGCAGATGGCCATGGGTGGTCACCAAGAAGGGTTTGAGAAGCATACCTGTCTGTCCCATTGTGCACCAAATGATTTCACAGCCTTACACAGCCTGAGGCTAGAGGTTCCTATCCTGCATAATAATTTTCATCTATTTCAACCTTGAATGAAATTTAAAAGAAATTGCATCCTTCCCTTTTCAACAACCACACATGCACTTTTTACAATGTTCACTTTGAATGTTAGTAACTCCAAAGTAGCTGAAATTACAGCTGAAAAAAAACTCTGAAAAGGAAAAATGTTTCTAAGTAACAAAATACTAAGTTGATTTGCTTTGTAAATATTTTTCTCATGCATAAAATTAAGGCACTGAATTTGGTTCCTAGGTTTCCTATGACAGTTCTTGGCCTTCTTGATGAAGTTATTCTTGATCAAACTCTGATATCATTGTCATAAACTGTAAAATTACTGTAAATGAGAAATGGAAAATTTCCCCCATTTAATCCTTCATTAGGAGCAGAGTCATGGAGATTACCAAAAAAAAAAAAAAACCCCCAAAACCAAAAATCAACAACAACAAAAAACCAACAGATTTTCTGGTGGCACATGCCTATAATTTAACACCAACTATTTGAGAGGTAGAGGAAGAGGATCACAAGTTTGAGGCCACTCTGGACAAAAGGCAGTATGGGAACTGGTCTCAAAAATAAAATAAAAACAAAAGTGGTAGGATAGCTCAAGGTGTTAGGCTCTGGGTTCAATACCCACCACTACAAATTCATGAGAGGGAGGGTGGGAGGGAGAAAATAAAGACTCTCTAGAGTAGAAGCCATGGAATCAAAAGCTATAGGCAACAGTCACTCCATCATTGGATTAATCAATCCTCAGAGAGATCTGAGGGCCCTGAATAAAACCAAGAGCGCAGAAGCATGGGAAGGATGCACATGGATTCCAGTCAGATGTGAAATTCTAGACTTCCGAATGCAAGCAAAGAAAAGCATGAAATTCCTCAACTGATAAGCCTGAAGTCTCACTGTCTTGGAATTTCATGAATTAGCTACAAGGAAAGAAGCGTTTCTGCCTGTGGAATTACCCCAGATGGGCACAAGGGAGATGTGACTTTTGTTTTCAGGGTTTCCTCTGGAATAACGGAATGTGTGGCTCTTATCAGGCAAGTTCCAACATATGTGTGTGTCTACCCATCAAAGGAAGATAAACATTTATAGCTGTCATAATAAAAGATGCATGAATCGTCTTAATGCTAAGAAAGCTGTGAATTTCCACTCTGTAGCACAGCTTGGGATTTCTGCCAAGAAGCTTGTCTTTGAGTGGAGGAAGGCTCTGGAAGGCTCTGTACCAAGCAGGTAGAGCAACAATAAAAATTGTATGTGCTGTACTTTGAACTAAACCTTCTCTTACTTGGCTTGCTTCATTTTTCAAACGCCATTTGAATCACCACTTTGCCTCACAAAGGAAAAGACAAGACACTTGAGTTTCAGGAAGATGATCACATGAAACAGCACGCACCAAGTTATAATAATATAGTTGTCCCAGGATATAAGGGTTACTATCAAAATCCACAGGTACTCAAGTACCTTCTATAAAATGGCATAGTATTTGCACACAACCATGCACATTTTTCTGAATACTTAAAAAGTCATCTCTAGATGACATAAAACAACTAAATGTTATGTAAATAGTTGGTACTGTTCGGGGAATAATGACAGAAAGAAAAAAAAATCTGTACATATTCAGTACAGGCACAAGATTTTTCTCAGTATTTTTCACCTGTAGTTGGTTGAAGCTGAGTATGGGGAGCTCATGCATATGGGTGGGCTGGCTGTATGGCTTCCCAGTTTTGCAGTGTCAGAACAAGTATGCCTGTAAAGATGGAACAGGCTAGAGAGAATTCTGAGAGCTAGGAGCTCTCCAGAGTTCTCATATGCATGCTGCAGACTGCAACCACACACTGCTCATCACTGGCAGCAAAGAACAGTCTTGGTATGTAGCCAGACGTACATTTTACCTTCTCAGCTGGCCAAAATAAAATTACCCTTTCTTCTGTCATTCCAAGAAGGTGTGTTTTTTTTCTTCGTTGTTAGAAAACCAATCCCATTTCAGCAGCTTAAGTACTTCAACAGAGCATTTCTTCCGACCAATATAATTCTGCTCCCTTTTGTGGTTTGACTAAGGACTGACTGCCTGCTGAGAATGAATGGAGCCTGGGCAGCAGGGAAAAGAAAGCTACAATGCTCATTTGCTGCTTCCCAAATGTATTCATCATTTAGTTTAGAACAGAGATCCTCGATATGGTAGAAAAAGTTACCCAACACAGCATAGCTGCACTTTATTAACCAATAAACTTTTCCTTTGCCTTTCAGCTCTGGCACTCTAACTCTGAACCATAATTTATGATCTAAATCCCCAGAGGTTGAATGCCATTCATTGGGAGCTGTGAAGAAAAAACTGTCCAATGGGAATACTACTGACACCATAATCACACACAGTGAGTTATATGATACTGGAGATTTCACCCATGCATGCAGGCAGACTGTAAAAATGACTTCATGGAAGGCCATGGAGCTGAGATAGTGCTAATACTCTTGGCTTCTACATACATGAAATGCAACAAGCTCAGCCATTCACAAAAGGACTGGGCATCAGCCACATCATCATTAGAGACTTCCGACCAGGACACTCAAACTTTAACCACAAATTACTTCTTTAACTGCTTCTGTGCTGGTCCTGAAAAGCTTTCTCCCTTGTGCTCCTTTTGGAACTGTTCAACTCATGAATTGCTCTTGGCAGGCTGACACTACACGATTCAGGTACCTTGCCTCTGTCCACTTCTCTCTCCCCACTACACCTGACCCCTTTCGGCCCATTCTTCAAGATCCAGTTTAAGGCTCAACTGTGTGAATTCTTCACTGAGTGAGTGAGAACACCTGGGTCTTCATCACTGCATGACTACTCTGGGCAAGGAAACAGGTTAGCACTAGCTGACTAACATAGATATCCGTAGCCTGCAGTCATTTTGTTATGTTTGAATTTCCTGTATCTTTAAATGTTAAACCTCTTGAAAACAGATCATCCTCCCTCCCCCCCCCACACCCCCGTGTCATCCCCCCCCTACCCTACCCCATGCCACATGCTGTTTTCATAATCCTTGTCCCTAATCTCACCTTCTCATGAGGGATTCAGACTGTTACAAGAACTCAGAAATAATGCTTTGACTGAATGAATTAAACATAACCCAAATACAAGGATTGACTTGAGTCACTAGCACCACCTCACATTCTGGGGGCAAGATTAGTCTATACTGCACAATGATCAAGACTTCAGGGGCGCCGGAGGGATGGCTCAGGGGTAGAGCAGGTGAATAGCATGCAGGATGCTCTGGTTTAATCACTCCAGAGCCAGGTGGCTCACACTTGTAATCCTAGCTATATTAGAGGCTGAGATCTAGAGAATCATGGTTCAAAGATGGCCTGGGCAGAAAAGTCTCCAATTAACCCTAAACTGCAGGACTGGAAGCCTGTTTCAAGTGATTGAGCACCAGCTGTAAAGAGTCCTGCTACCAGCCACAAAACAAAACAAAAAACAACGATTTTTTTCTAGATCGAAATTTCATGTAGAGTAGAAGTTCAATGGACTGTTAATAAAAGCCAAACCCTAAAGGCCTTCTGAAGTAATCTTTAAATTGAGAAACCCACTGAACCCAGTTCCCTATGAGACACTTTATGGACAATACTTTTCAGAGGCTAGAACATGCTAATATAGGTTATTAATCCCATGGCATGTTCAATGCAGTTTCAACAATGCAGCCACACTTTGAATCCCTGTTTTTCCAGAAGGAGAGCTCCAGATTCAAGAGCGATATTTATAGTCTGAGGCAGATAAGGACAAAGCACGTCAGTGTCTGCTTCATTCATGTTTTCATCTCAGAGAGGAGATGAACACTGGGTAGAGCCTGGAATGATGCAAAGCAAAGGGAAGGATGGATTAGCACCCTTCCAGGGAAAATGACTGACTGGCTGGGCATTAGTGCCAGATCACACACTGTTACTGGGTCCCAGAGAAGATAGGAAATCTGCACAGGTACTAGCCACTATCATGCTTTATTAAGTGGGTGAAATGACACAATGTCCCCCTTCTCCAAACTTACTAAAGCATCGGTCCCTGACTGGTTGCAATTA